AAAGCCTTGATAGTAATAAGATTAATGGGTCTTCATTCAACAAATTTAATTATTTTGGTAATTTTTAATTGCTTTTCACTTTTTATTGTAATTTTTCAAAATGATTTATAAACATTGTACTTTGGTTTAAAATGAAACTAAATTGCACAAATCTTAAGTGTACAGCTCTGTGAATTTTTACATATGTATATACCCATGAAACCTACCCATGTCAAGAGATAGAACATTTCTAACCCCTCTAAGGTTCCCTTATGTTCCTCTCCAGTTAAACACCCTTCCCACCACAAAATGACTGCTATTTTGACTTGGATGACCATCAGTTAGTCTTATGATTAAAACTACTAAAAAATTATATAATATATATATATATATTTTGGTGGATATGTTTACTCATTTTTGGGGGGTTTACACATGGATTTTCTGGGTTAAGGACAGACTTGTGTTTAACTTCAGAAGGTAGTGCCAATTTATATTCTATGATAGCAATTCATAAAAAAAATCAAAATTAAATTATTTGAAGCTTATGGTGAAATTTGAATATCCTGAAACTTTTTTCTTTTCTAAAGTATTTTATTTTGTCAAAAATATACAAAGAAAAGTCAACAAGTATTATGTTATAGTTGCCAGTAAGGTAATTTTGTTTTAATCAAATACTTTTTTCTCTATGCTAGTAACTTTTTTCCCTCTTTCTCTCTCCGTAGGATTGTCTTTCCTGTGGGTTGGCAGGCAGTTGTAGGACTGCAAAATGGGTCTCCGGATTCACTTTGTTGTTGACCCACATGGTTGGTGCTGCATGGGTTTGATTGTCTTTGTCTGGTTATACAATATTGTTATAATTCCCAAAATTGTCCTCTTTCCTCACTATGAAGAAGGACATATTCCAGGCATATTAATAATAAGTAAGTTTCTAGGTCTTTATTTCTTTATATAATTAAAGATTTTCTTCATTGTGGATGTTTTTGGAATATAATGTTACTATGTTAATCTTCCTTTTAATATTAGTGCTATTAATACTAAGTTATTTACTGAATTATGGAAATTTTAAAAAATAATGTCCTTTATATACTGTTTTGCAGGGTTAGATAAATGGGTTAGATATCTAACTCTACAAAATCTATAAAGATCATTTTATTTAAAAAAAGATACAATTGTGTTAATTTGTGTATTTTTAATATTTTTGTTATGTACTTACTGCAAATGTACAAAGAGTTTAAGTATGAAGATGGTATGTATACATTAATGAGAAGTAAGATTTTTGTGATACAAATGTTCATTATGACACTTTGAACTTCTACATAATTACTTTCTGCTATAATTCATTGGTGATGACTTGCTTATGATTAAATTTGAAATGACATATTGTACATGTACATGGCATTTACAGTTTCCATATACAGTATGTCATTTTGACCTCACAAGAGCTGTGAGAAATATGGTTTCTGATATATAAATGATAAAATTGACCAGTGCCATGCCGTCAGCCCTGGAGTTAACACTTGAACTAAATTTCCTATTACAGGTGCAGTGCCCTCTCCTCCACCCCACCCTCAAAAAATGCCTACTCTTTTATTCATTTAAAAGGTTGAATTTTGATGAATGAATTTTTTTCTCTTACTGTTACTTTATCTAGTTTTTCATTTTAAAAAAGTTTCTAGATTCTTTATTTTCAAATGAAATATCTTAAATCTATAGAAAGGAACAATTGAACATCACTAATTCAAAGTAATTTTGAGGATAGCCAGTTAAGAATTAATGAAAAAGTTTAATTGTAGGATAGGCTAAAGAATGCTGCTTTAATTTTTCCATATATAGTACATGTATTTAATAGGGAGCCCATTCATTTATGCCTTGCTTATTGGGAATTTCTATTAATAAAGAATATGATTTACAACAAGTTTATTAGTTATTATGCAAAGTAACATTTAAAAGTGGTATACTTAAGATAGTCCTCTTGGCAGTATTATTTGATGAATCAAGTAAATTAATCATTTAATTTTTCCATCTTTTGAAAATTATTTATCTGGATGGTATTAATTAAAATGTGCAGTTATACTTTAAATATGCTTGTTGATAAAAATGTGTCTAAGAGTAAGTGACTAATTTTCTTTCTTTCCCTTCCCTTTCCCTTTGCCCTTCTCCTACCCTTTTCCTTTCCTTTTCCCTTTCCTTCTAGTATTCTATGGCATTGCCATATTTTGTCTGGTTGCCTTAGTAAGGGCCTCAATAACTGATCCAGGAAGACTCCCTGAAAACCCTAAGATCCCACATGGAGGTATGGTACTCTTCAGATTTATCAGTTTTACTTTTCCGGAATTACTCTTCTTATCAATGTATTTATTGCCTTTAGTATGCATTAGTTATACATGACATCTATTACAGCTTTCAAGTTTTTTCTCAGATGTTTCCTTTCTAGAGTTCTCTATTTAAAATTGCAAATCCCAGTTGACTCCTCATACCCCTCTCCTTGGCTCTCTCTTTCAGTTTGTGCATTGGTTTCTCTCTCCTCCCACCCTCGATCTGTAAAGATTTGTTGTTTCGTTTTCTTCATTTGTTCAGTGCTGTATCCTCAGTGCCTGGAACAGTCTTTGTCACTTAGTAAATACTGGGTAAATATTTGTTGAGTGGTATATAATTATTTGAGAAATTAGTATTTTTACTTAATAATAAAATTTTTATGAAAAATTTCATGATTAAAAAAAATATTGGCAACTAGTTAAAAATTTTAAAAAATTGTTTTAAAATGAATACCAAGCAGATTAATATCTGTGGGCCTAATTGAATCATGAAACCACATTGTTACCTTTAGCTTATAGACTGTAGCAACGGAGGACACCATCTTGCTCACTATTTGGATATCTGCATTATATCTGGTCCCATTGACATTTGGCCTATTTTTCTTCACTAAGTTCAGAAGATTTCTGTCCAATAAAAAAAGATATGTTCATTTATCATATTTTAATGTTTTCAAAGCCTCTTGATATCTATCTCATGTCATATAATCCTCAGGGTAATTGTATGAGGTAGGTAGCCTGCGTGACCAGAAGCATAGATTATGCTTTATAGGTCACATGGCAGAATATTACAGAAAGATTTGAGGCACAGAACCTTGTTCCACCAGCTTTTACTATGGCTTTAAATATGGATTAAAAAAAATCATGACCTCCTGGTTCAAAGGTCGATGCTCAACCACTGAGCCAGGCTGTCTGGGCCCCAGAATTTGATTTTACAAGCTTTTCAGCATGCAGATAAAATAGTCAAGTGAAATAATTAAATGCTATTTATATTATTCAAATTATTCACACATGTCTGAAATACAGAAATATTACTTTTGTCACTTTCAAATTTCATGAAATGATTTTATTCAATCTCTTAACTTTTTAAAATAGCTTTATTGAGTATAATTCATATGCAATATAATTTATCCATTTAAATTATACACTTTAGTGGCGTTTAGTATATTCACAGAGTTATGCAACTGTCACCACAATCAGTCTTAGAACATTTCATCATCAAGCTGTTTCTTAACTAGTAATTTTGACTTTACTGTTTTTTGTCATTACTAGAGCTACTTTTTGACATATGGTTAGAGAACAAAATCTTTCTTTCTAAGTTTTAAAAAATATATCATGTTTTAAATTTGTCTAATATTGTCTCTTGAAATTTAACCCATGCTGTTAATGCTGAGGGTCATGTATTCACTCATAGTTTTGCCTTTTTCCTCCCTCTTATATTGTTTTATTTTATTATTGTTATTTTTGTTAATCCTCACTTGAGGATATTTTTTCTATTGATATTTAGATAGAGTAGAAAGGGCGGGGAAGAGAGAGAGAGAAACATTGATGTGAGAGAAATACGTCGGTTGGTTGCCTCCTTCACGCACCCAACTGGGGCCAGGGATCAAACCTGCAATCCAGGTATGTGCCCTTGACCAGAAATCGAACCCATGAGCCTTTGGTGTGCGGCTGGTGCTCTAACCTCTGGACACACCAGCCAAGGCTTATATTGCTTTTTCTATTTTAAATTTTTATTTTTAATCCTCACATCAGGATATGCTTTTTAAAATTGCTTTTTAGAAAGAGTAGAAGGGAGAAAGAGAGAGAGAGAGAGAGAGAGAACTATTGATATGAGAGAGAAACATCAATCAGTTGCCTCCCATAGGTGTCCCGACTGGGGATGGAACCCGAAACCCAGGCATGTGCCCTGACTGGGAAAGGTTGTCCAATACAACCTTTTGTTGTATTGGACAATGCTCCAACCAACTTAGCCACCTGGCCAGGGCTTATAATGCTTTTTAAAGGTGATCTGTAGGAGACTTACTAACATTTATTTCCTACATTGGCAACCATTTCTGTCAGGAAACCACTATTAAGACCTAAACCTTGTATTGATTTTGGTAGTTTTAAATTATATTTTCCCCCAAAACATTACGTTGTGATTTGAAATGCAGTAATTGAGAGAAGGCCCCTTAACAATTTGAGTCTTTTAAGACTAAAACAGAAGGTGCTTCCTTTCTGAGGGATAAACAAAACAAAATAAAACCTTGTTTTATATTCATTCATATATTTACAGCATTAATAAGGATCCATGTTAAACAGTGTTATGCTCACCTGGAAAACTGCTGAATATTCTATTGAGATCTTCCCATGGGACCTCCCCTAAAATCTTCACCCTTAAAGCCCTTAGAGGAGGACCCTGTGTGCTCTTCCTCGGGAGCACGCCCTTGCCTTTCCCTTTCTCTGCCCTCTTCCCCCTCCCTGTCCCAGGCCCATTACCATTAGCTTCCTCACTTCCAAGCTCCAAGGGCCCTTCCAGGTAACTTGTTTCCTAAGTCTATTTCTTCTAGGAATTACCTTTCTACCTCTATGATTTACCAAATAAATGTTCTCTTACAAAAAAAAGTGATGCTGTGTACTTATATTAAAATCTCAGTCATTTGTGGAGTTTGTCTTTTTCTCTCTGATTAGTTTTAGGTTTTGATTTTTCTTCTTAAAAATACATGTGAGTTTTTAATTTATTTATAGTTATCATAAAGTAGCAATTGGATTTTCTCTCCCATAGGCTTTTATTTTATATTTTGAGATGGCTGGTACAAAGTATTGTAGGTAGTTATCAGACATCAGGATATATTGGCCACCAGGTCCCATTGGCACATGCATACACCTGAAGAAGGAACGGGAGAAGACTAAGACATGAATTACAGATTTGTAGGTTGAAACTATTCTAATAACCTCCTAAACCCATCTGAAAATCTTTTCCAAATCCCCCCCATAAACTTTCCCCAATGAACTCGTTAATATGAGAAAATAAAATGGTTTGAGGGTTGGGAATGCAATCTCTGTTTCTCTAATGAGATTATAGGATTGATTTTGATTTATTAATCCATGAAACCAGAACTCACCATTATTCCTTTATTATAGCCTTTAGATAAAATTTCTAGAAATTTGTTTAAATAAAATTCTGTTTTAATAATTTGGTTGTATTTTAGAGTTTTATCATTGAATTTTACTTGTAGCAATATGTCCCAAACCCAAATACATTGTTTTCTATCCCTTAGTTTGACTAATAATAGTGTCTTATTTTTTTTATAGTATTTAAAATTAGAAACATACAAAATCAGACATCATAAAACAGAGTAACAACATTTATGTGAAATACTGGAGACTAGAGGAAAAATTTCTTAGACCTATATATTGAAGACTTTCTATAAAATCTGTAAATAATTGTTGCTAAATTTCAACATTACTCATTTACCTTCATTAAATGGATTTTAATTTTTTTCTCTAGAAAGGGAGTTCTGGGAATTATGTAACAAGTGTAATTTGATGAGACCAAAGCGTTCCCACCACTGCAGGCGCTGCGGCCACTGTGTTAGGAGAATGGATCATCACTGTCCATGGTAAGAAATAAATAATTC